AGATGAGTGACGGAGACTTCGTTGTTGCGACGCCGATGAGCAAGAAGAGGGTAATGAGAGTGTCTTGGAGGCGCGAGAGGAGGTGGGGGTAACCGACAACTGAAAGTGTAAAGCATACTTATTTGGGCGGGGTGCACCCAGGGGGGTTAGCAGTCACTTTTCCTTATTTCCAATCGTGAGCCCGCTTGTAGTTGGTTAATGTATTTACACCTGGGTACCGCGCTAGACTGAGGACGAGATCGGTGCAAATATCAGTCGTCACTGCACAATCAGAAGAAAGAATCGCATGAAAATTTGGTGTAACGAGCTAGCTACCATCATATTCTGAAGCCGGATGCCTCTCGGTAAAAGCAAGTCGTGCGTGCTGAGTTACACGATCTTCGACCATCACATGGAGCTCGCTGAAGTGTCCCTGATGGCACTCGCCCACCACGTCGACCTCGGCATTAACGGGTGAATATCATCAGGGGAAACGCGAGATTTACAGACAGATGGGCATGAACATATCGTTTAACGAAGTATGACCACCTTCAACGCTGCAGAGCATCTAACGGCAAAATGATGGGACAACGTACGTGGGGCGAAACGGGAACTTGGGCGATGCCATGAATGCAATGGTACGGAGCACACCCATTGTTCTCTCCAGCTTCTATCTCGCTAGCATTCAACTGGCAAGATTCAACGCCAGCGGCGAGAGGACCCAGCGACTCTGGATCCAATACGATAACGGCGTCCGCGCGAGTATTCGTCTCCTTGTAGGCTGAGCACTGAGGTACGACCACTCAGTTGGACCTTTAAGTAACGTTTAAAACAAGTCTCTAAGGGAGCGGTGCGTCTGTGCGAGGTCGGCGTTTTGACGGGTTCGTCCTGGTTTCGTCCACGTTTCGTACGAAGGGTGTCCGTGCAGCCACAATAGCCAAATAGGCACAATGTCAGCCACCTGCTTCAAAGCTCGAATCAAGCTCGAATCGCCACTTTTCAGTTTGACTCGTCCATGTTTCGCCATCACTGCCATTGAAGTTGTACACTCGATAAGTCTGAAATCATCACTGCCTAAAGTCTGGTCTGCTTTTGTTTTCCGATGGAACATTTTCTCGCAGCTACGCCTCGTCGTTGTGGGATCCGGCACTCAACAATATGGAAGTAGAAGCACTTTCCAGCATCAAGGCATTAATGTCTGCATAAAGGTACACGCGGGACTTGCAGCTGGAGATCGTTGCAAATGGACCAGTATCTCTCCGATCAATATGTCACATCATCGGTCAGTGAACTTCACCGGTTGTATTTCCATTGCATGCAGGCTCTTGGACTATCTTCAGTTTTTTAAAAATCGTTTCCGACTGCTTCCTGCGGAAAGATACTGTTTCATCACTTTACCAAAACTCCTCTCAGGGATGCGGAAGGACTACAGTACCGTCCTCAGAGTTCAACGTTCAACCCCGAGACAAGACGATGGAAGTGATGCCACCAGTGGCAGTGATTCGGAACGTGTCCGCATCGCGTACAATTCCGCTCTCGCATTCTCTGCTCAACTGACCCCACTTCGTCAGTCCGCTGATGTCGGACGACTCACCGCTGGCACATCTGTTCAGATCCCCGAAGTACTTAGGTCCCATTGCAAAGATGGCCTTACGGCGATGCACTACAACAGCCACGCCTGCGTGGCCGTCGCCTTGCGTGCTGAGTCTCTTACTGCGTGCTGTCTCTCCATCTCTATGGTGTGAGTGACTGCTCCGACTCGGAGACTCCTCGGGCTGGGTTTAGTTTGTCTCGTTGGATTCCGGAGGCGATCGGCCGTCTGACCTTGCCACTCAACGTTAGTTATCACAACAAGATGTGGAATGCTAAGGTTCATTTGTCAACATCGGTACTGTCTGCTCCGTGTGGACATCAACACCAGCCTGTTCGCTTGCGCTGGAATAGGATGTAGGTCATATACTTGAGGATCCCAAATTACCCATGTCGGTGCAGACACTTCGCCGACATGCTCATGTTAATCCACAGTAGCTATTACTAACGACCAAACTGCCTTCCGCCCGGCATGCACATTCCATAGGCGCGTGTGAGTTCAGCGGGAAGTGTTTCAGCTCGTCGTGGCCAACCCCTTCCCCCTTTTATAACTGCGGTATCGGGCCTGTCATTGCCCCCTGCAAGAGTGCGGCTGGTTATAACAAGTAGGTTTGGAGCATGCCTTCGCTAATTTGAAGATGGTCTTCTCAGCTGCACGAGATCTTACCATGGCCTCGTTGGAACCCACATACGGAGCAAT